CTGAGATTACATGCACCCACCACGATGCCTGGCTAATTTTTATGTTTTTAGTAGAGATGGGGTTTCGCCATGTTGGCTAGGCTGGTCTCGAACTCCTGACCTCAAATGATCCACCCACATTGGCCTCTCCTGGGGATTTTTTTGTTTGTTTGTTTGTTTTTTTGAGATGGAGCCTTTCTCTTGTCGCCCAGGCTGGAGTGCAGTGGTACAATCTCGGCTCACTGCAACGTCTGCCTCCAGGGTTCAAGCCATTCTTCTGCCTCAGCATCCCAAGTAGCTGGGAATACAGGTGGACACTACCATGTCTGGCTACTTTTTGTATTTTTAGTGGAGATGGGGTTTTACGTTGGCCAGGCTGGTCTCAAACTCCTGACCTCAGGTGATCCACCTGCCTTTACCTCCCAAAGTGCTGGGATTACAGGTGTGAGCCACTGCACCCAACTGGACTCCTGTTTTCTTGATAAGAGGTAAGGTACTTTGCTTATGAATTTGAGTAGAGGATGTAAAGCTTAAAGTAATGATGAAAATGTGGACTAGCCATTGAGAGGAATAGGGAATGAACTGACTGAACATTTCTAAAAATATTGTTGGTAGCATTGAGAGTGCTCAGTTGACATCATTAGTTCATAGCAGTGACTGTTTGTAAGATTTTGAACTTTATTCAGTGGAAGTCAACTGTCCAGTGAGGAAGTAGTGAAGGTAGATTATAATATTGAGAGTGTTGTTTTGCTGGTTGGATATGATAGAAGGATGGGCACATGAGGGAAATCAAGGATATTTGAGAGCTTTAAGTGATTACCATGTAGCCTGTCCTGGAAGAGGAAAAAGGGAGGAAAAAACACGAAGAGTTTGAGGAATTAGAGGTCCCATGATGTTGAAGAGGAAGTATAGATGTGAAGGCTTTAGAAAGAGGATAGAACAGGATGGTGTATTCTGGAGGAAGATACCGGTGTTTCTGCAATAATGTCATGAATGTGTGGCTGGAAAACCATGTTTTCCACAAAATCAGTGCGCTAAAAGTAACAGGACTTATGTGAACTATAAATAAAGCTGGAGCAACCACTTAAAACCTTGGGAACTTTGTAAGCACTAATCAGAACACCACAAAAATTACAGTCCTAATAAAATAAAAGCGCAGTTAAATTTTCACTGTGCCCGATATTACAGGTGGTTTGGTCCATTGCAGCTTTAGACTCTGGGTCTTGGGCTTTTGCTTCTTCAAGAAGGAATGATTGTAGTTAGAGTGGAAGTTAGTGGGAATAAAGAGGTTCAGGAATTAAAATGCAGGGAAAAACTAATTACACGTGAGTGTTAAGTGTGTGAATGTACAGGAGAGATAAATGTTTGAGGGCTTGTAAAAAGGAGCTTCAACCAAGTTGGAGAGATTAGAGAAAGAATATTTGAGGAAGTAAAGCTTGAGCTAAGATTTAAAGTGTGAGTAGGACCTACTCAGGCTAAGAAGGAAAGGTGGAGGGTATAGCATGTGTACAGACTCTGGCCTGATCAATGTGAAGAATCGAAATAGTGCTGATGTGACTAGAGCAGAAAGGAAGTGGAAAGTGCAGGTGGAGAGCAAGGTCAGACAAGGTGTTCAGGAAGCGTGTCTTTTTCCTAGGCCAAAGGGGAGGCGTTGGAAGGAATCTTCATTGTATTGAGAGCTGGTGATATAGAAGGACGACTGATTTATGTTTCCAGAAGGGCACTGGTTGGCTGCATGTTGGAGAAGGGGTGGGAGTGGGAATGGGGTAGAATGGTTTATTCAAACTCTTTCCATCAGATTGTTTGAATAAAAAGAGCTAAACTTGCTAGCCTTAGAATTAGGACGTATTAGATATGTTTTCTTCTAAAGCCACATAGAAGACAATATTGAGGACTTTGTAGTTTTAAAAGTTGAAACTTTTGGTAGCATGAGGTTGTCTTTTGGTTACCACAGAATTTAAGGTAATAAACTTTCAGGTGATAAGCATTGTTAGAGATAGGCCCTTTGCTGCTGATATTACAAGTTTGAGCATCCCAAATCTTAAATTCAAAATGCTTTCAGAATTCAAAACTTGATTTTATGTATTTTTATTTTTGAGACAGAGTCTCACTCTGTTGCCCAGGCTGGAGTGCAGTGGCACTGTCGGGTCACTGCAAGCTCTGCCTCCCAAGTTCAAGTGATTCTTGTGTCTCAGCCTCCTGAGTAGCTGGGATTACAGGCGCACACTACCATGCCAGGCTAATTTTTGTATTTTTAGTACAGACAGGGTTTCACCATGTTGGCCAAGCTGGTCTTGAACTCCTGACCTCAAGTGATCCGCCCGCCTCAGCCTCCCAAAGTGCTGGAATTACAGGCATGAGCCACCACGCCCGGCTCAAAGGAAATGCTCATTGAAACATTTTAGATTTTGGATTTTTGGATTTAGGATGCTCAACTGGTAAGTATGTGCAAATATTGTAAAATCTGAAAAAATCTAAAACAGTTGTGGTCCCAAGCATGTCAGATAAGGGATACTCAACTTGTACTGGTCTCATTTAAGAAATAGTATGAAACCTTTTACTCTTGCATTTAAACTTTTCCTTATACCTTTTACATCTAATTTAACTTTATGAAACAAATCTTTTTAGTTTTAACATTTACAGAATTTATCTGCAGTGAATCATAACAAATACAATGGATACTTGAAGATTTATAACTGGTACTTTATAGTAATTTTTGCATAATGGAAAAATGTATGGGATTTTAATTCATGCATGGATTTAATATATGTTTCTTCCAATTTGGGGCAGGGTGTATAATGTGTAAAAATTTTTATTATTTTTTTCTGTAGGCCCATGACAGATTACAAATTTCTTCATTTCAAAAAGTGAGGTTAAATAATACCTATTTCATAAATGTTGAATGAGAAAAATCCATACAAAAGCACCTAACTCTTTGAGAGACTGTTTACTTTCAAATATTAGTTTCTTTCTCTTTTCCCATGGAAGTAGCCAGAATAGAACATGGGGATATGTGAGGTGATCCCCGAAAGTTCATTGTAACTAAATCCTTCATGTGGGTTCAGAGCTCCCACTAGATCAGGTTTCTTGAATTTAAATCCCAGCATAAATCCTGCTTTGGAATTCTCATTAAGCAGTATGACTTTGGGCGAGTTTCCTTATCTTAGATTTAACTGTGAAATGATAATAAATGGTACCTACCTCATGGGGTTGTTTTGGATATTGAATGAGTTAATAAACTTAATGCGTTAGAACAGTGCCTTTCACACAGTATTAAATATATGTAACTATTATTTGTTATTAAGAATACTTTGGGATTACTTTATCCCTAAAAGTTTGGGTCACTCCCCTTAAAAAAAATTAGTGGATTTAGGACTGCAGTTAGATTCTGTTTAGTTTTCTATAGATTTATTTGTAACTCTCTAATTTTTAAATATGTAATTTCCATAGCCTTTTCTCAGGTAACTTATTTGAACATATTTTGACTGAAAAATGTGTTTTACTGCCACTATAATTAAATTTTATTAAAAAGTGACTAGTGCACAGATTTGTGCAGTTGTTTCTTTTCTGCTGCTTAGCTCCGTGTAAATCTATTACCTGCATCATATGTTAAAGTAGTTTTGATGCATGTAAATATTGTTGCTTCCATTTTTGTCTTCCTAGCCAAGCTTGTTGACTCCTTATGGTCACCAGGCTAAAAGAACTTCTGCCCATAATCCAAGTTTTCATGGTAATGGAAGGAGTGGCAGAATTCATTCTTTTTTTTGTAGGGGATTGGGGGGTGTGAACATGTACTAATTTGCATTGCAAGTGTAAACTTAAGTGTTTAATAATAATAAGGCATGTGTTGGAAATTTGGTAAATTTGGTGAAATGCATGGTAAGGGAGGATATGATCTCATTCATGTGTGATGGTTGTGTATCTTAAGATGCAATTTTTGACTTAAGGCATTTAGTTTTAAAACAATTACAATAAATTTGAGGAGAATTCTGCTACCCATGAAGATAATTTTATAGTATGACTGAAAGATTAATGCGAAGTTTGTATTACGTGGAGCATATTTAACTAGAACACCCAAATAATGATTTAGAGTATTGTGTCTCATGCAGTCCTTTTGGGGATTATGGAGACTTGTCTCACTCATGCTCTTTGAGTACTTCTGACATGCTTCTTCAGCTTCTGTCTTTATTCTCCCATGGTTTTATGGACATATTTTCTCTTAATATTGTCCACATGCTAGCTTTCAAGGTAGTTTGTGTCTTCAGCAAGAGGCAGGGGAAGTGATCGTGAGTTTAGCAAACCCTATGGGATTAGAATTGAGGAATAGCTGGTTTAAAAAGTTTAAAAGGCATTATCTAACAGATTTTCTAAAATGTCAGCAGTGGCATGGTGTTATTTCTGTTGTTTAAAAAGAAAAAAAAAATACATTTAGAAATCAGATGTATTTCTCAAGAGGCTGTTATTGGCCCAAGAGATTTTATGAATCAGCTTTAATTAATAAGACTATACCAAAGAACAAAATTGTAAATTCTTAAGAAAACTGTTTTGCCAATTCAATCTGATTGTGTAAGGTTTAACTTAGAAATATATGATATAGATGCTTCTGGTTTAAAGAGCAGGCCTTTGGCAAGAGTGTACAGAAATTATATAAGTTATATACAAATTTAGACCTGATAAAATTAAGATCTTATGTTCTTCATACAGCCTTTTTCCTCTTAAAAATATAGTGTACTCTATAACATCTTTTATTTAATTTGCATAAAAGGCTGCTAGGTTCAATTTACATATTCGGATTCTGCAATCTTAATAAAACTAATAATAGTGTGAAGAGTTCTGTGGTTAACTTGGGCTATTTTGCATATTGGGTGCATGGTGATGATAAACATTTTATTGAGTATTTGAACTGATAGCAGAAATTATACATCATTCCAAAAACCTGTATCTTCCTGAATTGTTTAAGGTTTTCATTTTTCAGTGAATATCTCATGTGACTTCTTTTTTCCTTCCTGTTTCATGTGCAGGTCATGGCAAAACCCCAAAAGATGCAGCGTCAGTTCGAGCCACGCATCCAATACCAGCAGCCTGTGGGATTTATTATTTTGAAGTAAAAATTGTCAGTAAGGGAAGAGATGGGTAAGTGTAAATTTTGGTGAGAAAAATCATTTGTTAGTTTTTTTGTTTTGATTTCATAATGTTTATGATGTAATTGGAAAGTTAGAATCCTGGAAATTTTGGTAATTGGAAAAGTGGAATCTGAATATTCCAGTATAACAGACTGGATCTGGTTATGCTTAAATACTAGTTGAAGTTAAAGCTTGAGTTAGTAATATTAACTGAGCTTTTCTGGTAGGTTTATTATTAAAATGGAGAATTGAAATTAAGGAATGGAGGGACAGTGACTCATTTTCCATGACTTTTCTTACACTGCTTTTTCCTGAATTCTGCTAAGAAGTTAAATCCTCTCAAAGCCAGTAATCATAGTCAGTTGGTGATTCATGGGTATTTTACAGATGTTGGGCTTAGAATTTTAGGTTTTGGCTGAGAAATATGTATTTGTATGCTGTCAACCAGAGGAGATTTTCAAGGTTTAGGATGTGGTTTAGAAAGTTCCAAATGAGAATTCCATGGTAGGGCCTGGAACCAAATTTAATATCATTGCTTTTCAGCTTGGGATTGGTGTGTGGTTTGTGTGGATATCAGAATCACTTATGAGACTATTAAAAATACAGTAATTTTTGGGCCTTACCCCAAAAGTTCCTAAATTAGAATTTTCGGAAGTAGAGCTTTGGGCAAGATAGGCATTTTGAGAAAGCTCCACACTGAATTTTGGTGCCTATCCCTGGTTAAGCACTAATTACCTACAGTCATTGGATCTATGCTATAGTATTTCCTCATAACTTTATTGCATATCAGAGGTCTCTTAAAGCAGCCATAGAGTTGTTAGTTGAGTTACCAAGACAAAGCTATTGGGCTGTGTGGGTAAGTTGCTCCGTGAGGTCAGTCAGATGGACCTCAGATCAAACCCCTCTTAGTAGTCCTCCTGTGTTTAATTAACCAGTTAAGTGTATTCAGTAGATTACTCCTTTATCGACTGAATATTCTCGATGTCAACAGTATGAACAACAGAAAATAAAAACCTGGAATTCAGTGACAGCTTTTTATGTAACTGCCTCAGTTTTCTCAGGGTAATCAAGCCAAAGAGAAAATCAGAGATGCCAAGGATAGAGTGGTTGAGAGAGGCCCCATCATTGAAATAGGCACACGATTGTCACCATTTCTCACTTTACAAGCTGTATAATCAGTAAGCTGATTCTTTTTATACTTGTGATTATATGAACTTGACCTCATATTTGCCTGCGAATACCTTGATGATTCTTGAATCTAATGCTACATCTTGGTTTATTCCCTTGAGCTCCAGACAACGTGTCTAACCAAATGTTTGCATTTGAATGTCCCGCAGGCATTTAAATTTAGCTTGTTTAAAATCTTTTTCTAAAAAAAAACCATTTGGTTGGTGGTTTCACTATTGCTAGAAACTTGAGAATTTCTTGCTTTTAACTTTTCTGTTCATCTCTACTGCTTCTCCCTTAGTCAGATCTCAATTATTTATCTGCTGAATTACTCTGAGGTAGTTGGTTGATGGGCCTCCAGTTGCTCCCTGTTTTGCTCTTATTCTAGTCTATAACTGTTGTCAGAGTTCTTAATAATGTGGAACTGAATTGCCTCTACCCATTTTTTGAGATCATTTGGGACATCTGTTGCTTCATTGTAGAGCCTCTTAACAGGACCCCTCAGATATGACTAGCTCTTACATCATTTTTCAGTCTCTTTGTAGCTAGGATCCCTTATCCTTTTTCTTTTGTTTTTAAATTTAGGTATATTTTACATATAGTAAACTTTATTCTTTTTAGTATATGGTTCTGTGAGTTTTGAGAAACATGTATAGTCATAAAACCACCATCACAGTTGATATGGGAGTCTCCCGTTATCTGTGGGGGATACATTCCAAGATCCATTGTGGATGCCTGAAACTACAGGTAGTACTGAACTGTATATATACTATGTTTTTTTTCAGTCTGATAATTGAGAGGGCTAGTCAGTGACTGAAGGGCATGTGGTATATACAGCGTGGATATGCTAGACAAAGGAATGATTACCAGGTGGGGACAGGGCGGGACTGAGTCCAATGGCATGAGATTTTATCATGTTACTCAGAATGGCACGCAATTTAAAACTTATGAATTGCTTATTTCTGGAATTGTCCAATTAATATTTTTGCACCTCAGTTGACTGTGGGTAACTGAAACACTGAGGAAAGCAAAACCACAGATAAGTGTGGACTGCTGCATATAGAACAGCTCAGTCACCCCCCAAAATTCCGCCATACCCTTTTGTAGACAACCCTTCCCCATCTCTAGCTCCTGGTAACTATTGACTGGTTTTCTGTCACTCTAGTTCGGCCATTTCAAGAATGGCATATAAATGGAATCATATAGTTTGTAGCCTTTTAAGTCTGGTATCTTTCACTTAGCATAACACATTGGAGATTCCTCCCTGTTGTATATATTCATAGAACAGTCCTTTTTAATCTAATTGTGTAGATGAGTGAACCAAAGCTTGCTTACCCACTCCCCAGTTGAAGAACTTCTCAGTTGTTTCTAGTTTTTTGGCTGGAACTGTAAACATGTATATACAGGTTTTTGTGTAAACATAAGTTTTCTTTTCACGAGTAAGTACCTAGGAGTGGAATTGCTGGATTGTAGTTAAGTGTATTTTTAACTTTATAAGAAACTGCCAAATTGTTTCACAAAGTGGCTGTACTAGTTTGCGTTTTGTTTTTGTTTTTTTTTTCTTGAGCCAGAGTCTCGCTCTGCTGCCCAGGCTGGAGTGCAGTGGCACGATCTTGGCTCACTGCAACCTCCGCTTCGTGGGTTCAGGCAGTTCTCCTGCCTCAGCCTCCCAAGTAGCTGGAATTACAGGCGCCCACCACCATACCTGGCTAATTTTTGAATTTTAGTAGAGACGGGGTTTCACTATGTTGGCCAGGCTGGTCTCGAGTGCCTGACCTCAAATGATCCACCTGTGTCAGCCTCCCAAAGTGCTGGCATTGCAGGCGTGAGCCACAACACCTGGCCTCTAGCTTTTTCATATATACGTTTTTCATATATACATTTTTTTTCTCCTGAGCTAGATAGTAAGTTCCTTACAGATATACTTCGTGTGTTCCATGTGCTTGTCGAGTGATAGAAACCAGCAATACTGTGGAGGGATATGATATCCACTGCCACCCCCGGCTAATCTTTTGTATTTTTAGTAGAGACGGGGTTTCACCATGTTGCCCAGGCTGGTGTCGAATTCCTGAGCTCAGGCGATCTGCCCGCCTCAGCCTCCGAAAGTTCTGGGATTACAGGTGTGAGCCACCCTGCCTGGCCCACTAGTTTGCATTTCTCCCAGCAATGTATGAGAGTTCCTGTTGATCTTAGCATTAGGTATTGTCATTTTTTTTTTTTTAATTTTTAGCCATTATAATAGGCTTCTAGTAATTTCTTGCTGTAGTTTTAATTTATATTTCCCTAATGACTTATGATGTTGAAGAATCCCTAATCCTCACCTGCTCTTCACCTATAAGGTGCCATTTGGAGTTCTCTGACTACGCACACTGGCTTATATTTCTAGTTCCTTATGCATGTCCTTCCTTCACCTTCTCTTACCCTTTTCTCTGTTTGCCTAGCTAATTAATTAGTCTTCAAGTCCTAGTGTAGGAGTACCTTTCTTACGGCATTTTCTTCCTAAAGTAGGAATATGCCTTTTCTATGCCTCCTTTACATTTTGGCCAGACTGTAATTATGATATTTATATTGTTTCAATTGTCTGCTTACTGCCAACATGACCCTACAGATTTAAGCGTAAGGGACTATTTTATTTTAATTTCTGTAACTCTAGTGCTTAATTTATAGCTAGCTTTTAAAGGTATGAATAAATGAATGGATTAGAAGTACTATTTCTTGTATGTTCTTGGAGAAAACTGTTTGTTTGTTTGTTTGTTTGTTTGTTTTGAGACGGAGTCTTGCTCTGTCGCCCAGGCTGGAGTGCAGTGGCACGATCTGGACTCACTGCAACCTCCAACTCTTGGGTTCAAGCAATTCTGCCTATCTCAGCCTCCCAAGTAGCTGGGATTACAGGCGCGTACCACCATGCCTGGCTAAGTTTTGTATTTTTAGTAGAGATGGGGTTTCACCATGTTGCCCAGGCTGGTGTCAAACTCCTGACCTCAGGGATCCATCCGCCTCCGCCACCCAAAGTGCTGGGATTACAGGTGTAAGCTACTGCGCCCAGCCTTTTTTTTTTTTTTTTGAGACGAAGTTTCGCTCTTGTCCAGGCTGGTGTCAAACTCCTGACCTCAGGGATCCGCCTGCCTCGGCCTCCGAAAGTGCTGGGATTACAGGCATGAGCTACTGCGCCCAGCCTTTTTTTTTTTTTTTTTCCTAAGAGACGGGATCTCATTCCATCACCCAGGCTAGAGTTCAGTAGCGTGCAGTAGCTCTTTGCAACTATAAATTCCTGGGCTTAAATCTCGTGAAAAAAAAAAAAAAAAAAAGGGCTGGGGCCAGTTAGCTTCAGCACCTGTAGAGTTGGTGCGGGCATGGCGGATGGGAGTTCCCTGCGCAGTCGGAGTTTGACACCAGCCTGGGCAACATGGTGAAACCCCATCTCTACTAAAAATACAAAACTTAGCCAGGCATGGGTGGTACGCGCCTGTATCCCAGCTACTTGGGAGCTGAGAGTAGCATGAATGTGCTTGACCCAAGAAGTTGGAGGGTTGGCATGAGTCAGATCGTCCACCGCACTGCCAGCCTGGGGCGACAGAGTCAAGACTCCGTCTCAAAAGGACAAGGACAAACAAAG